TAATTCAGTAACTACTGCTGGAATTTCTGAACCAGTAGAACTAGGTGTGCCGAATTTCACTCCATCAAGTCCGGTGGTAAGGTCTCATCGTAACTAACAAAACGAACCCAAACTCGGCACACCTAGTTCTACCAGTCTAGGAGTTCCAGTTGCAATCACCGATTTACACCTTCAGGTCACTCCATCAAGTCCGGAGGTATAGACTCGTCATAACTAAAAAAAACGAAGCCCAAATTCGGCACACCTAGTTCTACTCGTTCAGAAATTCCAGCAGTAGTTACTGAATTACCCCTTCAGGTCACTCATCAAGTCTGGTGGTAAGGTCTCATCATAACTAACAAAACGAACCCAAACTCGGCACACCTAGTCCTACAAGTCTAGGAGTTCCACTTGTAATCACCGAACTACACTTTCAGGTCACTCCATCAAGTCCGGTGGTAAGGTCTCATCATAACCTACAAAACGAACCCAAACTCGGCACACCTAGTTCTACCAGTCTAGGAGTTCCAGTTGCAATCACCGATTTACACCTTCAGGTCACTCCATCAAGTCCGGAGGTATGGACTCGTCATAACTAACAAAACGGAGCCCAAATTTGCCACCCCTAGTTTTACTCTGCAAGAAGTTCAAATAGCGGTCACGAAAGTACACCTTCAGGTCACGCCATCAAGTCCGGAGGTAAGGTCTCATCATAACCAACAAAACGAGCCCAAACTCGGCACACCTAGTTCCGCTCGTCCAGGAGTTGCAGTAGTAGGTAAGTTTATATATTCTACTTATTTTTTAGCTAAATAAAAAACTGTGAGTATAAAAATAATAATTTTAGCACTTGTCAAGTACTTATGTTTCCAATTTGTTTTTTTCTAATATTTTGTGTATGTACAGCGATCTTTTCAGAATGAGCCGCTGCAAACAGGCGATACAGTGTCCACTCACGACGGCGGCCGAGCGCGGACTGTGGTTTCATCGAAATCTTTGTACAATAAATCAAAGCAGGCACCAACAATAAAATAGCCCTTATTGCAATAGATTATGATTCATCCGTATTACCAAAATATGTGAAAAAATGTGCATCAGTTTTTATTTTTTTTTACGACTATTTGTGACATTTTGTTAAAAAATAAACCCAGGGTTTTTTAATTGAATATGTCTGTCATCTTATAGTATTTTTTAAATTTTTTAAATATGTTGATAATAGACCAAAACATGTACCGAAACACAAGCCGGTATCGTTAATTTTGTAGAAAATGGCAACGAAAGTTCGTTTTTACAATATAAAAAACTACTATTTTCAGCAATAGAGTTACAGATGTTTGCAGATGAAGAACCAATCTATACATGGTAGTTTTTACTTATATTTGATTTGGTTTAGTTTTGTCACAAAATGTACCGAAAAACACCCTAATTTTGGTTGATTTGAAAACGCGTCCTTAAGTTGTTTAATAGAATATTAATCCACGGCATAAAAATCAAGTGAAGGTAAATAAATAAAATACCTACTTAAAAAAGTTACAATTTAAAGTTGTCTATTATCTATACAAATAAATATAATTGAAGTGTCTGTTGGTAATGTCAAAATAACAACTTTTTTTTTTTTTTTTTTTTTTTTTTTTTTTTTTGCGCCCGAAGCAATTAAAGGGCTACCCTATACGTAGGGGGGCGGAAAATGCATTACGCATACCACGATAGCCGGTCTATCGTGGTTATGAGGGGCTCACTGTCCTACCGGGGACCCTAAGTGATACCCTCTAAAAACCGCCTTTGGGGACAGGCAACCGGCTGATTAAGCTCTATTGTGCCTTATCATGAGCGACCCTCTTTTGGGAAAAGAGGGCGCAGGCGGCTAAGTGCCGCTGAGGGAGTGCCTACGAAGGCAAATTAATGTTAGATATTACAATAATTTTATTTAATTAGAGTTGGCCTGAGCCGCCAGGAGACAGTTCAGGTCGTTTGAAAGTTTATTAGGCGGGTCCGAGAGAGAGTTTCGCGGCCTGCGGACACGATAGCGATAGCGGTGGGGCTGCATAAGAAGCTGCCTCACGAATTAAATGGTTTGGGTGCGACTCTGAGGCTTTGAAGAAGTTCTCAGAGAGTTTTTTAAAAAATTGTTGAATTGTTGGGAGCTCTAGTCCCGATGAAGGTCGGCATTACGGACGTACCACGGTGCGTTCGCAGCTCGACGACAGAAGAGGTTCTGAACTATTTGGAGTTCATTTAAAATGTTAGGGTTTGCGTGGGCAAAGACGGGGCCCGCGTAGGACATGACTGGTCGTATACAGACCTTGTAAAGGGTACGCTTGTTTCGAAGGGACATTTTACTGTGTCGGCCCAACATACTGTTGAGCCTACTCAGATAAAACCGTGCGTGACGGGTTACTCTTTTGACGTGGGGCTTGAAAGTGAGCCCTGTGTCTAGAGTGACACCTAAATATTTGGCGGACGTATGCCAGGGGACAGGGGTCCCTAGCATACGTATTGGTGGAGTGTTTTTGAGACGGCGTCGTTTATAATCGAAGTGAACGGCGGAGCTCTTCTCCGGGTTCACATCGATGCGCCATTTTTTGAACCAAGCACCTAGGTCATCAACTGACTTTTGGATCTTGTTCCGTATGAAGGGTAGTGAGACACCTTTGCAGTAGATGGCAGTGTCGTCTGCGAAGAGGGAGAGTTGAACACCTTTCGACGGGATGGGAATGTCGTTGGTGAACAGGATGTACAGCAGAGGAGCAAGTACTGAGCCCTGAGGGACACCAGCCTTGATAGTTCGCTGTGAAGAAAGCGTGCCTTCGTGTCTAAAACGAAAGGTACGATGTTTTAAATAGGAGGCCACGAGACGAACTAGACGATCAGGGAGACCTATTTTATAGAGCTTGTAGATGAGGCCTGTGTGCCAGACTCTATCGAAAGCTTTGGCTATATCGAAAAAGACCGCGATGGTCTTATGACGACGAGGATAGAAACCGCTGAGGATATATTCCACAATGCGGTGAACTTGTTAGGGACATGAGTGTTTGGCTCGGAAACCGAATTGATGGGGAATGATAAGAGGGTCGCCGTCTGTGGGAAACAGATAGCGCCTCATACGCGTTTGGATGACTCTTTCAAAGAGCTTGCCCATTGCCTTGAGGAGGCTAATGGGGCGATGGCTGGAGGGGGAGGTTGAGAGGCTTGCCTGGCTTGGGAATTCCAATCACAGTAGCCTCTTTCCACGTAGTGGGGAAATAACTGAGGTTGAAGCAGGCGTTGAAGATAATAGATAAAAAGGTTAACACCTGCTCAGGAAAGTGTTTTAGGGCTTGGTTGGAGATGCCATCCGCGCCCGGAGCCTTTTTGGGCTTAAGTCCTTTGATGAGGGATGAAATCTCATCATTGGACACAGAGATAGGTTCGGAGGCCGTAGGGGGTGAGTTCCGGCGGCGGACCTCATCCTCCACTGCCTGGACGTGAGAGGGGTCGACGGATTGAGAACTAGGAGAGCATTGAGCGGCAATGCTATCTGCAAAGCACTCAGCCTTTTCCTCGTCCTCGAAGGCAACCGTGCCGTCGGGACGGGAGAGAGGGGGAGTGTGGGTGATAGCGTCTATGCGGAGGGCTCTAGCCATCTGATAGTACGCTGTGTGAGAAGGAGAGATATTCTCCATGAGCTTACTCTTTTCGAGGTCTCGAAATTCAGAGAGGCGGAAGTGGAGTTCTAGTTGAATACGATTGGCCGCGCGCCTATATTCGGGGGTGGGATATTTTGCTGCTCTCCGGAAAGCAGCTTTTTTTGGCTTTTAATAGGTTGCTAATATGTAGGGGAAGCCCACTATTGTTAGCAACCGGGACGACCCTTTCGTTCTCCTTAAGGGAGGATTTAATAAGGGTGGAGAGTGAATCGACCGCGGTGTCGATTTTTTCAGGACTATCTAAGTCCGACGGTAGGGAGATGGTAGAGTCCTGTGAGTCCAAAGCTTTAGCTAGGGACTCCTTGAATCCCTTCCAGTTAGTGAAGGTTTTCGTGTGTGTTGGGGGAGGTGGCTGATGGCCAAGGATGAGGGAGACCGGTCGGTGATCTGATCCTAGATCGTCTAGTGTCTCGATTGCTCTGAGGTTGAGAGAAACTCCTTGGAGTAACGCAAAATCTATCACATCGGGGGCGTGATCGGTGTTATCGAGCTGTACGTCATCGTCGTCGAGATAGCTTTTTCTCTGTGTATTATTGATGAATACATAGGTACACTATTTATGATTTTTAAATGACATGTGACCTGCTTCCGTAACGAGCGCTCGACTCTGACATCGGTTGCGCGAATGTGTGTACAGCCGCTCATATTGCCGGTCCTTCACTGACCTCTATATATACAAGTACGCTATATATAGAGGTCAGTGCGGTCCTTTTGACCTCTATATATAGCGTACTTGTATTGTGGCCACACTACGTCTCTGCCTCCTTTTCTCGCTAATTCCCATGCCACTCGACGAGTGTGTGGCCAGGAAGTTATCTGTGAATAATTATAAACGTGTGTTTTTGTAATATAAGCCTACTATGTTGAAAAAAAACATTAATATTTACAAACCTACCAAGCAGGCAAGTAAGTTACCATCCAATCCTACATTTTCAGACTCGTCAAACTGTTTGCAAATATGTTGTATGATTATAGATTACTGTCTAAAAAATTACTCTTATAGGTCGTTCCATAGATTATTATTTATTAACCATTCTACTTTCTACTTCTATTTCATAATGCACAAAATATACTCTTGTTAACCTAACGAGGTATTCAATCATCAAAATATCACAACAAATAGAAATATCACACAAATAACATGATTTAGAAATATCATTACAAACATTATAAGAAATCTAGAGTAACATGTTTTCCTTTTACTTCTTTCTGTCAAAATAAAACAAAGTTTAGAAATATTACGAAATATATCAAAACTAAAGCATGTGTTAAACAGTATTTTAAAGCAACAAAATTATTTTGCTAAAACAAAAAGTTTTAATCAATATCAGAACAATGGATTATTACATAGTAGAAGAGGTTAATAGTCAGAATCTGGTAAAGAAGAATAATAATAAGGAAGAATATAGTCATTCGAGACTATCTGAGGTTAGAGATGACGACAAACAAGAAGGTGAACTTCAGTTGGATGGGAATAAGCCTTTTCAAAATCTGATAAAACATGATGAATCCATAGATCTTTGTGATGACAAACCATTGATTGAGGATTTGGAGCCTTTTAAACCATATTACTCTGTAAAGATTCCTGAAACTGCAGCAAGTAAGTACTTAAACAAAAAGTAGAAAAATGTACTACTTTAAACATAACATATACATTGTTCAATAATCATTCCATTCAATTCACTTCCGGACGTGTGCCTGTTCCACAGTAGGCGAGACTTGGTCACGTTTGATAGGCGGATTATCAATTGATGAAGTCCCCGCCACTTTGTAGCAGTTTTCTCATAGCCAGGTATTTTAAGTCTTAAAGACAATGAAATCACCTTGGCTTTTCCTCGAGCCGTTACTTATTCTGATACGAGAATATAAGGTTTTCTCTTAAGCCGATAGTATAGGCTATATTTGTAATAAAATATTCATATTTACTTTCCATTTTTAAGATAAGATCCACCCACAAGGTCATCAGCAAATGAATTGGAGCGACTATCATAATTTAGATGTTATCAATAAATGGATGGAAAATTTAGAGAATACTTTTCCTTCTCTTTGCACTGTTGGAGGCATCGGTACTACGCTGGAAGGAAGGATAATGAAAGTAAGAATAGATAACTTCAATGACTTCTGCCGTATCATATACTTAAAGCTATAAGCAATTTTTTTAACTATAGCGAACTAAACTCTAGTGAAAAAGAAATAAACATAACAATACAATTTTTGATTAATAATAATATTTAATTTTGGTTACATTATTTTATATATAAATACAAAAAAACCCCTTGTTCACGTCAATCAGAAAGTCTGTTTATCTCTTCCGAACTAAATTGAATAATAATGTATATATGTTTTACTTTTTCAGATAGGTCAGTTCAGGTGAAAGAACCAATTAGTTCAATCATCGACTTTGATACTTCATCATTATCAGCTACATTATTACAGCTCATCACAGATCTAAATCTAGATATAGGCCACCCCTTAGGAATGCTACAAAGAACGATCCCGTGCCACCTGCATAAATCGACCTTCCGCACCTCTTACCAGGTCAATTTTTTGAGGGGCAGCCCCACACTTCCCTTACAGGGACGAGGCTAGCACTCAGAATTGAATCTTTCTTCCCCATCGGTTGTCAGTTCTTTGAGCTATATTGCTGAACCACTGTCACTTCAGCTTACTGATTAATATTTGTTGATACTTCTTTACTTAAAAAAATAATTTCTTAAACGAAACGAATCCTCAATAACCATTAGATTTTGTATAAATTTAATTATAGTCGCATATGTAGATTGTGGCCCCATAAAGCCGCTTTTACAATACTCTAACAATAAATTCAGATAATATTCTTCATAAATTTTACTTCTACCTACAGATACTGAAGGTTTCTAACAGCGAAGCAGGGAATACATCTGTTTGGATAGATGCCGGTGTACATGCAAGAGAATGGATAGCGCCCGCTGTTAACACGTTCATAGCAGATTTTATAGTCCGAAATTTTAATACTCTTCCAACATGTTTCACTAACAAAGATTGGCAAGTGTTTTCATATAATAGTTATGTGTATCAAAAGCAATTGAGTTGAGTTATTCATCATTAGCATTACAGCCTATAACATTTTCTTACTGAACACAGGCTTCCACATAGATTTCCTTATAGGAAGGATATTTGGCATGGTTGCCACGCTTGGCAGGTTGGCAATCAAAGTTTCTTATTATTTTGAGTTGTTATGATGAAGATGCTGCAGCTCATCTTCTATTTTATGTCCCTCTGTTGCCCTTTTTCATTATTATAAGCCAATGATTCACTACTATCACATCTGATGGTATAAGTTATGATGCAGGTAAAGCGCAGTGATTTAACAAAAGCCAATTCTCTCTTACCTTGTAGGTAACCACATTGTAATCAGATGGAAGGACAGATGCTGGTAACTTATTCCACACCTTTGCTGTCCGTATGGCCAACAATGACGCAAACCGTTTGGTTTGAATCCATGGTAAGTTGACAACGAAAGTGCGAGCGTCTATTTGTCCATTGAAGGAAAGGAGAGAAAAAAATTAAGTTATGCAATTCCTGCGCACACTCTCTGAAATCTGTCTACTACCTAATCTAGCTACTTTGCGCCCGTCTTTTAGCACACCTTGTTATCGAGTCCAAAACTGCTACGTAGTATTTTGTAGTACCAGTCCATACTTACTCAACATTTTTAAACTTCACTCCTCAATTTCTGACACAGGTCTTTTGAAGAATGTGCCAAAAGGCAGGCCACATTTCTTGCAGAGTTGCGCCTACTGACCACGCTAGACGGATTGATGATCGCTGTGACATAACTCGCGCTAATCACTAGTTATTAAAATATTAACATGGCATTTTTGGATGAATTACACCGTGAGAAACTGAAGACGAAAGATCATTGTTTCCATTACACCCAATAATCTTTAATATGATATATTGAACCTTTCCAACACATACATTGATCTGAATATGCCGTGCAGTTGCGGCGATTATTACGTAATACCCCATATCATTCCGTGGATGTCGTAAGCTGCGAGAGGGAAACTGAAACGGGTGCCAACACGTCTGCCAAGCGAGGCAACTATGGTAATCATATTAATTTACAGTTCTTTTCTTTTTCGCCAGGTATTTTCTACCTGTCGCAAATCCTGATGGGTATGAGTACTCACACAGGGTGGAACGATTATGGAGAAAAAATCGTGCTTTGTACGGTGGACAATGCTTTGGTGTAGACATAAACAGAAACTTCAGGTAAATTTACTACTTAAGTTGCTCGTAGCGTGGACTTCTGTTATAATGTTACAACAAATGAAAATAGTAAAGAAAAAGGAGAAATTTCAGGAGATTAATCATTCGGAGAAAAAAATACCTTTCTGCAACACTTGAAAATAATTACGCGGAAACACTTAACGTTAACTACTCGTATTTTATAAGTTTCAATATAAGAACTAACACAGAACTGCTACACGAGGACTTAGAATATTATTTAAAGAGGCTTATAACCATACAATAACGTAAGAGCGAAATAATTGCTTTATATGAATATTTCAGCTTCGCCTGGGGAGGAAGAGGTTCATCAGGTGATCCTTCAAGTCCGGTTTTTCGAGGTCGAGAACCATTTTCGGAGCCAGAATCATCGGCTATGAGGGTAAAGTATTTTTATTTTTATTAATTATTTTATCTAACTTCATTCAAAGACTTTGCACAAAAAGTGCTTGCTATCGAGGGCCATATTAAAACAAAATCTTGTCCAAGCAAGCTAGAACAAAAGCAAGCAAGGAATGGTAGCGAGTAAAAACTGAAAATCAGAAATTCAAAGCTATGATTTAACCACCTGAGGGCCGGTTTTTCATTCGTACGATAACAAGTTACGCAACAAGTAAATAATATTGAAACAGGTGAATTATTTTATTAACGAAAGGAGATGTTTAATTTTAATATGTTGTATTTTATTCTATGAATAATTTATCCTATGAATAAATTTTTATCTGAGGATTGAAAAGCCATTGCTTCGCGGCGCAGTTATTCTGTCCGTGACATATACATTAAGAGTGACATTAAAAGTAGATTAGTTAATTGTGGCAACATCGAAAATAGTAAAATGTTTCCCCAGTGAATATGTAAATCCAGCATCATTTAGCTGTAATATGCCGTTGATACCAAAATCGTGTCATCGGCGATGGACGCTGAGATTAAACTGCAAATAGGGTTTAGTCGTAAATCAATTTCAATACATCAGTTTTAAATCTATCTGCAGTATTAAAATAATTCACTTCATACATTGCAATGCAATGCACTTCATATATGTAGACGCACAGTACAGTACAGTACGCATATAAATATACAAAATTTGAATATGTAGGTATGTTTAACTTATACATATTATGTGTATTTTACACATATTACATATTATACACATAATGTATGTGTTGATTAAAAATATTAATACCGCTTAGACCTTTCTATATAATAAGAGTGACAAACGAGCACAGATTCCAGCTTGATGTTAAGTGGATATTGTAGCCCATAGATGTAGCTACATTTATCCTAGATTAAGAATCAAAATGCAGGTGTTACCACTAAGAAATAAGGCCTGATTTATCCACAGGCTGGAGCCTGGGCGCAAGAACAAAGGGGGCTGAGCTTATCTCTGCAAGCACCACTTATTTACAGAACAAAATTTGATTTAATATTCTCAGTAAATAATAGAGCCAGTGTTGCAAGCATTATACTTGTTACCCGTTTAATTAATCACTACAGATCGTAACTAAAATACTTAATACAGTGCAACCTTAATATAACGTACCTCAATTTAACGACTTCCTCGATTCAACAAATTCTTCGTAATCCCCTTGAATTGTCCATAGGAGTCAATGTAAAATACACTGCGACCTTTACATTGCGAACATTTCTTGCGAACAAATTCTTTATAACGAATTTTAACTATCAAGAAAAAGTGTAAATACCTCTCATTAACGAATTTGTCAACCCAAGGCCTTTATTTAAAGTTTATTAGTAGAAGTTGTGAATAAAATTATTTTTTACCCCTTTATTATATACTAAACAAATTTTAGACCAACCTAACCTCAACATAACAAACCTCAGTTCAACGAATTACTTGATATAACGAATATTTACTTGTTCCCTTCCGATTTGTTATATCGAGGTTGCACTGTAATAATTAATTACAACATATAATTGAATATTACAAAAAACTGTATCTAAACAAAAACTACACTAATATTGTATACGTGACAGAAATCGGTCTGTGTGACATTTGTATAAGGCAAGGAGACACTAATTGCTTCCCGAGGAAAGATCTTTCACCGCGGGAAAATCCCGTACCTATTCTCACAGAAAATGTACTGTTATTTGAACCGCAGGGTGGGAATCTAGTAAAATATAAAAATCTAGTAAGTATATTCGTAGTCTGGGCAAGCACAGGGAGAAAAATCCGGGGGGGGGTGTTAGCCTATGGTTGTCAGAACTCTAAATCAGGCGTTGCTAAGGATAAAGTATTACATGTTAAATTAATGTCCATTTTGAGTGTGTATTTTATGTTCCTTTCCATATTTAAATGAACCTTTATGCCAGTTTTCGTAAAAACAAATCTTGGTTAAATGAACATCCAAACAGATAAAATATCACATTCATGATATATTATATCAAAAATATACAAAAGGAAATAAGATCATATATTGGTAATTTTTTTTAATTATGTTTGCACTTAAATGACTGCTTTTCAGAGCAATGTTCTCTCATATTTTGTTTGTGTCTGTTTATGAAACTAAAGAGAGAAAGCTAAGTCAAACTTAAAAAACGAATTGTTGTTTCATTGTGTTCGCGAAAAGAATTACTACAAAAATTTATACACCCCATAATACACGATTAAGAGTAAACGGAGGGCAGTCATATGTACAAGACGTGTTATAAAACTCTATAACTAGTATATTTTAATGTGTGATCTACTTTAAATCTCATAAGTTACAAAATTACTAAGTGAACTGTATGCAATCAAACGCTGTACTCAAGATACTGAAGACGAGGCCGGCGCCCTTCACCACCTCGTGGGACAGAGACAGACACAGTTTTTTTTAACCTGATGACCGTCACCCATTGAAGTAATACGTGAGTAATTTTACCACGGATATATAATAAACATTTTACAATTAGAGTTGAATCTGAGTGACAGGGTGAGAAATTGTGTGATTAGAGAAGAGTGTGGTTTGCAAGATGATTTTGTGACCAGGATTAAGAAAGGAATGCTTTGGTGGTTTGGTCATGTGGAAAGAATGACAAAGCAAATTCATGTTGCAAAAGTGAACGGCAGAGTCGGAAAGGGACGTCCTAGGCGAAAGCGAAAGGGACGTCCTTAGCGAAAGCTTAGAATCCCAAGTCGAAAACCTAACGGTTACAGCAGTAGCACTCGCATACTTTTTAGCAGAAGAGGTAAAAGCAGAAAGCATGCTGACTGAAATCAAGAATCGTGAAACAAAAAGTAAGAATCTTGTATGAACTGAAATTCCTGAACCACTAGATACAGACAAAGAGAAAAGAACGATATAGATAAAAAATATGTAACAAAACAATTGGTGATTATTGACAGTGACATAACACCTAAAAAAATGTTTCGTCTAGGGAAGTAGTCCTAACAAACGCCTTCCCATTAAAGTATGCTTCAAATCTCAAGAAACAGTCAAAATTATATTACATAACAAGTAAAAAAATTAAATGCGACACTACAACGGTTTATTCCGACCAAATACCCAAGCAGCAATTACCTTTCAAAAGTCTTAAAGAAGAATTAAAACGTCGAGCTAAGAGTGGTAAAGATAATGTTATCATCAAATATGTAAAAGGTACATGCCCATAATAAATACAGCACTGCCAAAATTAAATTAAATTAAATGGGAGTTGCCTAAAAAACATACATCTAATCTCAAATGATAATATTTCTTATGAAAAACAGTTATCAAAGTATATAGACAAGTAAAATTTCACTAAAGTTCATATATGCTATTGTTCGCAGCATTGTAAAACCCGGCAAAGTTTACGAATTGATATGTATTATAGAATCATTTAAAAATCTACACCATGTAATCATTTTAATTGAAACTTGGATCAAATCAAAAAGTAGACGTAAAAAGATTTCAAACTCCGGGCTATTTATTTTATTATTACTATTGAAATTATAAATGTGAAGTAAGAGGTGACAAAGTCTTCATTTATGTTATTAATAATTAATAAATAACTTATATAAAACATTACTTAATTGAAGAACAACATCTAAATGGTAACCACTACCTTTGCGTACTCTTAGAAAATCATTCTCTTGACATTAGAGGAATTATATAGAAAGCCAAGAACCTCAGAGGTCAAAGAGATCATTGATACGTACTCATGACAATCAAATCAAATAATAAGAGGATTGATTTCCGGTGATCTAAATTTTATCCTATTAGGTACGGAACAAATAACAAATAGTTACAAAGAAATGTTAGAGGAAAGTGGCTTTAAAAATTTGAACAAAATTGATGAATATCACTGTACTCGAGAAACTACATCAAAAAAGAAATTTAATAGATAACGTATGCACGAACCTAAAATAAAGTTAACACGTTGAACGCCACGCAAAAAATCGAAACTTTCCGTTCGAGCCATGGGGGTCACCGGTGAGCCTTACGTAGTTGTTCCATTCAGGCCACGGGACTCACCGGTGAGCCGCGCAAGAGGTTCACTGTAAACGGGTCTCACAAGCCACAGATTGCAGTTATTAAACAAAACACGTATGGAAGTGAGCCGCG